AATATGTTTCAATAATGGAGTAATTTTTTTACTTCACTGTCGAAATAAATCGGAATCTGTCAACTTTTTATTACTTTGGTTGGTGATTGGTCTAGCAAATTCGCGCAAAACTAACCGCCCATCGGTCGTGCGCGTTTTCCCGCGCTCAATTCCGTTTCCTTATTTTACATTGAGTCCTCTGTTACGAATTGTGATCTTTTTTTTTGTTCTGGCTGCTTTGTTGTTATTCAATTGTATTTTCTTTTTAAGATAATCACTTCAAAGAAAACTCTAAGCAGATTACATCGGGTCTGCACATTGAAGTCAGACCAGTGTCTTCTTTGGCCTGACAATGTAACGGAATCCTTCAACAAATTCCACTCGACACCCCACCCTTTCAAAAAGATGTTACTCTCCAAGAAATATCCGCAAGCTTCTAAATGGAATTGGACGACAAGAAGTTCTTTTACCAACAAATTTTAACGATAACAAAATTAGAGAAAGAAACTAAACATCAATTAAACGTTTTCATTAAAAAAAAAACTCGTTAAAATGCGCGACAACAGCGCGCGCATACACTTACACGCAGGCATGACTTGTCAACTGTCCTATTACACAGTCCAATTACAAGCATGACACTTACTCTGTGCTATTACTGCTCAAATCGGGCTGGTGAAAACCAATAAAGTACGATAAATTTGTTATGGTTTTGATTAACCATAAAATTTCTGCATTACGCGATCTTGTTGATTGACCTTTCATTATATACATCATGACCTCATGACCTTTTCATTATATACATCATATTAAGGGGCTGTTGAAATCCTATCAGATTCCAATTCCACTCGACCCCCATCCCCTCAAAAAAATCGTAGTCCCCAAAAAGCATCTGTAAGGTGAGTGTCTTCTGGCTACCTGTCCGAAAGATCGCTTCCGTAAACACATCTCAGTCTTAAGTATGCTCTACTCGTCAAAATGAAGGGAGAGCCTTTAGAGCCAAATTTGTTTACGATATGGTACTTTTCCACATATTGATTGACCGTTCATATTATGGGTCTGTTAAAATCCTATCAGAAGGGCGAAAACCACAGAGAGCAATTATTGTAGTCTTAACACGGGTAATGCCCTTCGTGTGTATTTTGGATAGCTTCGCTTCGCGACCGTGCCTCGTATACAGAAGGTCCCCTTGCTAAACAGTGTCTCAGCACACATCAGGTATGATTAGAAAAGAAGCGTGATGCAATTGCGTGTAATGGCAGTCAATGAAAAATAAATAGCTCGCAGAAAATGAACAATTATGACTCATTTGTGACCTGTGCATTTATTGGCTCTGGCACCACACACTG